GCACCAAACGCTAAACAAACGCTAACAGATGGCCAAGGCACTAACAAACGCCTACAAAAACGCTACTGACCAGACTCGCTCCTGGTCCTACAAACGCACCAAATGCTAACCAAACGCTCAGAGACGGCCAAGACACTAACAACCGCCTATAAAAACGCTACTGACCAGACTAGCTCCTAGTCGTTAACTATGTTAAATTTCATTTAACTATATTAAAATTATACATGTATTTGCCCCAGAATGCAGAAATGTATTTTAAGAGGTCCAAATTTTAAGAATCTCCCAGGTGGGGCACGCTCCCGTACACCCCCACCCAAAGTTCATGCCTTCGGCTTGAGTTGCACCTCCACCACCTACTCCTGAAATTTTGCTGCCTACTCAGATTCTTATTGAAAACCCTGCACATACTGTGGCAAAATCACATTAAACCCTTCTTAGAGCTCTAAGACTTTTGTAAAGCCAGCTACATGAACATTACCTGATGAGTTATTGTCATCTGTTCGTCTGAAGCCACACACTGTACACAATTTATCCACCCAGTTAACCATTTCGCTCTCTGAGTCTGCCACAAGGTAGTATGTTCGCTGTTCTGTGACAATGCTGAACACATGTTTGAATCTAGCGTGAGCCAAATGTGACTCAACAGACTTGCAAAATGCCAAGTTTATTGGTTCTTTCACAGGGCGTTTTTCCCTCTCATTCTTGAAATAATGTAGCAGCTTATTTGCATGCAAAACAAAGAAACGTTTTTGCCACTGCAAGAGAGATATAAGAAAGCACTAAGATTAGAAATACAGTAATTAAAGAAATTGTTTAGAGGTCATTTTTGTCACTACACGAGGCAAAAACATCATTTTTAGCATTATTTTCTACAACTCAAAGTAGGTTACAAGTACTGTCACATTAACAATAGATCATTTGTTTGGGCAGAATTCCACAAATTAGTCATTAACTAGGCCATTCCATTGATGCTTTTATTTTGAAAGAAGGAAGTCTTTAACAAATATTTGATGTCATATGCAAACCACTGTAATAAGAATCTGGAGTATTCAGGCAGCCAATATACATTATTATATATCCCACAGACAGTATAAGCATACGTGTACATCTTCATGCACATTCTTGTAATCATTTAACTGAAAGTTTATAGACCTCTTGGGAATATATTTGTTTACACAGTTCATAACATTACAGTTACTTCCTGGAGCTTAAATCACTAGTGCGGTAGACAAGTTATGGAAATCTGGCAAAAATAGATGCACATGGATATTTATAGTACAATTTAATGACTTGGAGCCTTGGGGAAATGTGTAGAAATTCAACAACTGTAGTTTCAAGTTATCAGGGTAGACCATCCAGTTCAACTTGTCAAAAATGGAAAAACAGATATATGTAAAAACTGAAATAACTTCAAAGCAAAGTCCCTCTGTTTGATATTGAGTTACCAAGTTCAAATTGTTTTTCAATCAACCACTGCAGTAGGAATCTGGAGTATTCAGACAAGCAATATTATGTACTATTATATATATTGACATTTAGTATAAATCTACTAGCGTTCTATCATGAATGGCATTTTCTGATTGGCTACGCTACTCACTATCTTTTCCATTGTAGATAGTGAGTAGCTCAACAGTGTGCGGTTTTTACCAAAATGATGGCCACTTCTTTGCATTTTTGAAGTGTCTGTGAAGAGAATTTGGATAAAGTTTTGAATGACAAGTAGATTTATACTAAAACAATTAGATTATTTGCTCTCCATTTCTATGTGTGATTTTTGACTCGGGCTGCGCCTTTGTTAACTATCACGTGGTAGAAATCTCAAGCTTGTTTAAAATATATATATATCCCACATACAACTTATAAGCATTAATGCACATTCTTGTAATCATTAACTGAAAGTTTATGGACCTCTTGGGAATACACAGACTGTTCTTGTTGTACACAGTTCACAACATTACAGTTACTTCCTGGTGCTCATACATGTATCACCAGTGTGGTAGACAAGATACAGGAAATAGAAATGGAAATCTGACAACAATACACATAACTTAATAACTTGGAGCCTCAGGGAAAAATGTCGAAAGACAATGACTGTAGTTTCAAGTTATCAGTGGAATAACAGCTATTTGTAATAAATGAACTCCAAAGAAAAGTCCTTCAGTTTGATGTAAAGCTAACTGATTTCAAATTGTTCGTTTATTATTTGTGCAGTACACTGTTTCATGTACCATGGTCACTAGCTTTAATAATACCGCATATACATTTTTTTTTCTAATACATGTATACCACCAAAATATTTGTCTTTAAAATAACCTGTTACATGTACCGTGGAAAATGAAATACAGATAAATCCTGACTCTCTCCTTACTATTTTCCTTTTACATCACTCTTTTAACCTGTAGCGCTATTACAAAAGGCTACTAATAAGCAAAGTATTCATAAATTTACAGAAAATATGTGATAAATTATTTTGATTAGCATTTTCATACAGCAAAATACATTGTATGTTTTTGTATCAATTCTCGTTGCAAGAAACCAGTTGCTTTATACATGTAGCTCGTTCGAAAAATCCTGAAGAACCGAAGTCAATGAAAATAATTTTGCTTCAATACTTGGGAATAAACTGCAGATAGTATTTCGTGGATCGTGTTTCAATTTTGAATGCAAGTTATTATCGCAAAAGTCGGCACAACTAGCCAGCTTTCATCATACATTGTGGATTTTACGAAATTGTGCTTCTAAAAGCAAATTAACTAACCGACGTATATTCATTCAATCACTACCACATGACCGCATCGAACCGCAGATTTTACTGCAGTATACATGTAGATCTTCTGATGTATAATCTACAATGTCGACAAAGGTCGACAAACTCCAGCAAACAAGCGGCGGCAGATATAAAGAGAGTCGATATTTTCAGCTTCTAGCATTGCCTTTGTTTTTGAAGGAACCTTTGATACCCGTTGAAATACGAAAGAATTCATTAATTTCGATAGACTACGGAAGTCGTCGAGAACATCTACAACTCTTGGATTACGCGTTATTACGAATGAACATCCGACGCGAACGATTGAAACGTATAAAAGCCTGCTGTTCATTACGCAAACCTTACTTTCTCTGACGCATTCACAAGCAGCTTAACCATACCGAAGCTAGTGCCATACAAAACAACAGTACAAACACTGGTAAAGGGACGAAACGGCACAGTCTCGCCTAATTTCTGTGAAAGAATACGCCAGCACTTCGATGACCTTCGATCAATGCGGCGCGGAATGAACAGAAAAAATAAGTATTGATCGAGTATACAAGCTAGTGAATCGACTCACGATATACTAATGTAGCTGAAACCCTCCAAAAAGATGCGACGCAGCCAAATATCAGCTAAAGCGTATTTGAAATCGATTCTCACCATGCATGTTTGAACGGAACTGTGCATAATTTTCGCTCAGACACTTACCGAACTGACTTTGAACTTGGTTTCTGGCGGCGATTTCCGAAGGAAGCCTGAAATCAAAACATGTCCATCCTCCATTTCTACCATGAATCTGTTTCTGGGGAATCGATTAGAGATCTTCTTCTACACGTGAAGCCAAAAGTCGACAGAGTACCTAGAAATTCACTTCCACTTGAATACGATCACCTTCGCAACACGGAAGTCACCACTGGGCAGGCTGAAAAGATTGTCTGATTGGGTGATTTTGATCACATGGTAGCAACAGCATGAAACGTTCCCTTCCGGGGTGGCCTTAGTGCAATTTTTTTTTTTCCCTGGAGTAAGATTTTCCTGCCCTAAACATGGCAAAAAATTCTAGTAACGTTCATCGTTATCTGAAAAAATAACTGTTAATGCAAAGACATCCCAAGAGTGATTGGAAAACACACAAACAATTAATTTTGCATTTACACTTATGTCATTGAAAAATTTCTCTACATGCGGCAAATATTACTTTGCCATTTCTAATGATCAAAAGAAAATTTTCTCTTTCACGAACAGCGCAATGTAATCAGCGTCTAGCGGACGACTTAAACGGAAACCGCGAGTATTTTTAGACTATGCCGCATTCAAGTTCTCTGTTCCTGTTTACAAGCCCGTGGAAAAATATTCGTTTCCCTTTCGTTTGATTTTACTTTTAACCCACTTCACGCAATGAATAGAGCAAATAATTATTTAGTTACAGATAAATGTGCGAAAATATATTATGCAAGCTGACTGCCCCAGAAATTTACGTGTAAATGCGTTCACCTTGCCTTGAATTAATCATCATGATGAAAGATTTCCTTACCCGTTAAGACAAGTTGAAACGCGCCACGTGTGACCGAAAATCAATTCAATTTATCGTATTGTTCCGTCACGAAAAACAGAAGAGATGAGAAATTTTCGTTGAATGTGGCGAAATTAAACAGCATGTACGAGGGCTGAGTCACCGCACAGGGCAGTTCCTTTCGTTTCCTCAGCCCATTGAATCATTTCCGTAATGAAAAACTCACGAGGACAAGAGTGGGCGCCCCATTACCTTCTCAAAGCAGATTCTGTTGCTTCTAATGGATTCCGGAAGAAGGGTCGTGACCCTAAGACGTTGGTTTCTTTTCTTGGTTTAACCGAACTCACGGTTCGTCACGAAGTTTTTTCGCCCTCTCTGAAACCCTTCTGAAAGCATCAAAAGTGCCAGCGTGAGCAGTTTTTCAAGGTGTGAGATCATCGCTTAATTCAACGCCCATTGTGTTTTCTTGGCAATTTCCATGATTCAGTCAAAAGCCTACGTAACTGACTTTGTTACACCATCTGCCAAAACACTGAATCTACACGTACAAAGACATGCACTTACGTGCTCGATTTCAGCTATAGAATAACGCCAGGGATAAGGATAATATAGCGACGAGTGAGATATAAACTTGAAAATAGTAATAACTGCCATAATAGACTAAAATGCCGTAATGCCACGTGCAGACTCCATTCTAGGACTTTCCCTCAGAGATGAAGACAGTCATGAAGCCACACGTCAGTCAAGACCGTGGCCGTATGTAGACGTCGTCGATGTAGTCTATCCCGTAGATTTTTGCCTTTTTTTGGAGGGGGAGGGGGGAGGGGATGGTAGGAGAGTGCAGGCCGTTGATACTGCTTTTGAATTGCTTGCAGAGTTGCAGTATAGAAAATTTATACTGGTAACTGCTCTTGTCACTGAGGTTTCGTTTCGTTGGTCGATTTCAACTCGTATAGCATAGCAAGATGCAAGAGAGGTTTATTTATTCCCTCCTTGCAGTTAAGCGTGTACGAGTATAAGCGTAAATGTATACAAGCAGTTAAGCGTGCATGAATTGCGCATGTGGACTTAGGCCTTCCGAAAATAATTTCTCTTTCCTGGCATTGTGATCGTCGGTTAGTGCGCAAATGCGTTGTTTGGATGCAAGCAAATAACGTAATACTGTTCTTTAACGAAGTTACGACTGTCCATTGGCCATTATCATTCCCACTCAACTGACGCTGGCCATAAGATGCTCGTTTCGTTTAAATTATCATATTTAGTTTAACTTTCATGACTGTAAAGCGATATAGAGCTTTGTATATATTCGTCGTATAAATAAAGTTATTGTATTATTGTATTGTATTGTTTCCACGAGCCTCCACATGGTCGGAGAAAATGAAGGCCCTTTTTTACTCTGTTTGTTTGTTTGTTTGCAACAGAAAAATCCAAATATTTCGATTGGGAATATCCGTATGGGAAGAATGTCTTCCATTTGACCTTTACACGACTCCATCGCCATTTTGATTGAGGCGTAACGTGAAAGCCGAATGGCTTGGATCTGGTGCCGAAAAAATCCAAAAATTGCAAATGGAACATAAATTTTCATTCGGAACGTAACTCCCAACGGAAAGAAAAAAGGTTAAATTCCGTTTCTTTTGAGATTGCAGTTGGGGAGAGATCATGGATTTATAGTTTCAGGTTCTAAACTGGTTCAAACGCACACTATTTACATGCGCTATTCACCCGTATTCTTCTGGATTGCCGGTCCATAAACCACAGAATTAGTCAAATATCGATATATCCAGAGCTGGTATTTACGGCCTTAGAAAGTTCACTTGCCGAGGCGATGAATATAGGTGAAACATCATGAGCGCAAATGTGGGAAGGAATCGCAAACGAAAATGCTGCTGCTTTACATAGTCTGTGAAAGATCTGACCCGGTTCAAAGGTAAGAAATAATACGTACTTATCATATCAGCTTTGCTGATCAGTAAAATTCCAACGCCCACAGCAAATGCAATTTACACATCGTTCGACTTAGCTGCACGCCTCGGATTTTAGGGGAGGGCCCATCTTATCTTACCCAGATGCTTATTAGAACTGCAGACATGAACGGAAGAACGAGCAGGCATTGTCAATTAAACCTTGTCTGCCCCCGATTCAAACAGGAGTCTGAGGATGGAAGGTCTTTCTCAGTATCGACTAGTCACCTCTGGAATAAGATGCCTTCCCATATCAAAAACCAACCTAACTATGGCAAACGTCAAAAAATCCATTTTTAAACATTTTATGGACAATTATAAGGAATTGGACCATTTTATGATGTAAATTTTAACAGTTTTTCGATTTTCTTTTTTTTCTGTGTTAGACTTAATCCAATGCTTCGCTTTTTAATATTTTAGTGTATCTCATATCTCAGTTTTTTTTATATAATCGTTACATATTTGCGAATCAGTTTCTATATTTAATTTTTAACGCGTCATCTTTTTTATTCTGTAAATATTTATATTTTTTCAGTTATTACTGTTGTGTGCTACCCTCAATAAATAAAGATGATTATTATTATTATTATTATAACGACAAAAATAGACAAAAACAACAGAAAGAGCACTAGTGGTACTAGTACTAGTGCTACTAGTGCTACTAGTGCTACTAGTGGTACTAGTGCTAATAACATTTCTGTAAGAAGTTGCCGGTGCGTCATATCAGGCTTCAATGCCAACCTTTCTTTGGCGTTGAGGAGAGAGAACCTGGGAAACCTGGTTCCCTGACAAAGCCACGCAGAAAAACCGTAAAATGCATTGGACAGAAAAATCCGAAAAACCGCCATCGTGGTTGGCAAAAACCAAAAACCACACCTAAAGACTGAATTGGAGAAAACCCGCAAAACGCACAAGAGACAAAAACCGAAAAACCGAACTAAAAATTGGCCAAATCCGCAAAACCGAAAATCCCAACGCCCCCCTCGTGTAGTGCCTTATCAACTCAGTGAGGTATCAAGCCAACTGGGAGTTGGTTACGTTGTGAGCCCGTTGTATACCCGTAGATGGTGAAGATACAAGTAAATATATGAAAGATCATATATTTGAACCGCGGAGAAAGTAAAGATATAATTTCACAGCTGCTTAAGTTGTGTATCATGTCTTCATATCTTTCTCCGCAGTTCAAATATATGATCTTTCATATATTCACTTGTATATTCAGTTTGTGTTTCATTCATGGGGGCCAGTTAGCATGAAATTATTTTAAAAATGAAATTATAAACACAAGAGTTGCTAATTATTTTAAATTCACCATTTTCACGAATATTAGTTACAGAAAGTGTTGTCGACAAGTCAGACGTAGAGCCATATTAGCTTGGACGAATACGATAAACACGCAACTTTTAAAAAGAATGAATTAATGCTTCAAACGGGATAATGTACAGGTCTTGGATTCAAATAAAAACAGCCACTTACAAAATAAATTAAATTTATTCGCTCGCGTGTGCCGACCATGTGTATTTTGTGACGTCACAATTATGTCTTGCAGTCAGCGAATCCGAAATTTGCATTTCTATTTGGAAGTCATGGCGGACAAGTGCTGTCGGTGACTGCCGTCGTTTCGATTCACAGGCAGATATGCGGACTTTTCGAGCCTATATATATCCAGAAAATCTTTGTCGTATAGCCTAAAGTATTCAGCTTTCAATAAGAACGAATCAGTCCGGCAGATGAAAAGGGGCAGGTGCCAGGTGCCAGTTGTGGTGAACGTGGCTGTGATGTTCCAAGATTCGCTCGGCTCTCAGGACAATCACGGGAGAATAAGTCCATCAAAGTCCTCGAATGTTTGCCAATGAACTAGCTCAACATTCAGTGCTCCACAGAACTTCTTGATTCGCGGATTTGCTTGATGCGCTGCCGCAGATTTTCTTCGTTCGCCAGTTGGATTTATTGTTTACAATGACTGTAGTGGGCGAAGCGACTGTTGACGAGCCGTTCTTAATTGAATGCAATGGTATCGAAGATAAGGGCAAAGAAACGTCGAAGAACAGTGACAAAGAAGGGTGAGAAAACTTTTTACCTTTGCTGAAGAAGTGCAAATACTTGGGTTAACTGGCTGGTGGGTGTGAAGAGAAATAAGTAAGCTTTTTTTAATTGAAAGGCGTACGAACTCAGCACACTGAACCGGCGTCAGCAGTGACAGGTGCTCGAAAGCGAAATTCGGGAAGTAGCGTCCGCTGATGTTTTATTATGAATGCATTCAACTTTCTGATGAGTAATTTGAAATTTTATCCAGCTTAATGGTCTTTGAAAATGCATCACATTTTATGCTGAGAGGACTCTTCAGGGCAAGTATTAATAATATTGGAAGCGATTTTCGGTAATGACAATGGCATAACAAGTCCAATCGTCCCAAGCGAAGCCAGAACAGTTCTCGGAATCGCTAAGCATTTCTAAATAAACATAGACTACCTACCCTTACTAGGTTTGAATCGTTGAGTCTTTTCTGTCGAAATGAAATTGAGTAATAGTTTCCGAGTGTGAGTCATGAATTTTCTAACCTTTTTTAGAAAGATTTACAGCCCTGGTCAGTTAGGGTGTTTACTACAACACAACACTGGAATCTCGAAGAAAAATGTCTAGGGCAAGTGCCTCTGTTTGCCTGTTACTAGCCACGGCCCTGACCGCGAAGTTGTCGAGAATTAAATGTGAAGATTTTTGTACTATGCCCACGCTCGGGACTAGGAAACCGTTTTTTGTTTAAAATTTCTCACATGTAATAAGTCACATTTCAAATCCCGTATCTCCCTAATCTGATTTATCCCACAGATCCTGTTGTAGACATCGTTTTAACCTGTGTCACAAGTGGTCCATTCTGTGCAGTTGGTTCGTTCGTCTTCTTCAACACCTTGTCGGCCTTCTCGGCGAATTCGTAGCCAAGCGTCCGTTAACATCCATCACAGCATGTATTGTGTTCGTTTCTTTGTGTGCTGTGGGATTTACATGGCTTAAGACAGAAAGTAGGGCTGTCAAACTGTTTATTCCTCAGGACAGTAGAGCGATCAAAGACTTAAATACGGCTGAAAGGTTCTTTCGCCTCAAGGTCCGTGACGAGGGTATCATTGTGGTGTCTCGACCAGAGCATCCCAATGTTCTTGCTCCTGAATGTCTGAAAGAGGCCCTAGAGGTGCACAATCAGATTATAACGTTGAAGTTATATTCGGAGTATTGTTTGACACTTTCAGGAGAGAAAGCTAAATCTTTGGATGACTGCGTGATTGTTGCACCGTTTGAAATTTTCCAGAACATAAATTTTAGCAGTAAATCATTGGATGAGATCCAAACAGAAGTCAATAAAGCGTACAATAACAAGAGTTTGGTAATGCGAAATGGCCAACTCTTCCGGTACAACTTTCGCCAGATGTTCGGTCACGTGACAAGAAGTGAAACTGGTGGCTATATAACCGGCGCAAGCGCGTTGCAGCTCATGTATTTTATCAGAGATCCGGACGAGGATGACGTCAGCGAGAAGGTCTTGGAATGGGAGAAAAAATTCCTGGACAAAGCGTCAACTCTGTCTACGAAGTGTTTTGAAGTGTTTCATGAGGCGGAGAGAAGCACAGACGACGCTATTGCTGAAAACGGCAGTGCAGAATTGACTCTAGTGTCAGTAACATTCGCCATTATGATCTCATTCGCCTGTTTGATGCTCGGCAAGTTTTTTAATCCACTGACCGGTCACTCGCTGCTCGCAAACTCGGGAGTGTTCGCAGTGGCTCTCGGAATTTTGGCGGGAATTGGTTTTTGCGCGTGGTGCCGCGTGACGTTTGTGAACATGGTTGGTGTTGTGCCCTACCTGGTGTTAAGTATAGGTATCGACGATATGTTTATTCTTGTAGACGAGCTGGATCGACAACCACGTCAATTTGGCGTGGTCAGGACGGTAAAGGAAGTGATGTCGCGTACCGGAGCGACAATTACTATGACAACTATGACTGACCTGGTTGCATTCGCTGTCAGCACGTCATCTGCTTTTCCCGCTATCAGGTGAGAATGTGTTTTTGTCCGGTTTCCGCCTTTTTTCAGTAATCTCACATGCAGACCAGTTAGTTCGAGTGGTTCGAGGGTATATAAAAGTGGCAAAAATGGGTAATGCCGGGGTTAGACACTGACTGGACAATTGAAAGGAAAAAGGAAAGGGAAAAAGAAGGGAAAAAATTAATTGACAGTTTTCACTTCAGTCTNGTGCAAGATTGTTTTTTACTGTATACGTCCGCAATACGGTATTTTTAGATGGCAGTTTTTGGTGCTGTTCATTCTAAAACCTTGTTTTACTCTTTTTCAGTTACTTCTGCACTTATGCTGCTTTAGCCGTTTCTCTTTCTTATGTGATGATGATAACCTTCTTCGTGGCTGTAATGACATTTGACATAAGGAGAATAAAAGCCGGTCGAAGAGATTGTCTACCAGTCTGCCTGGCACCACCACCTAAACAAGACGGGGTGCATTGGGACGAGCCGCGCCCACAGACATCAAACCGCATCATGAAACATTGGGCAACATTTCTCATGTTTAGTCCAGTGAAACTCGTGGTGTTGCTTATGTCTGTTGGAATTCTTGGCTTGGGAATCTACGGAACGACGAAGGTGACCGAAAGGTTTGACAGGAAGATGCTGGCTAAAGACGACTCTTCGCTTATGAAGTTTCTTACTGTTCAAGAGAAGTATTACGAACAAGTCATTCCCGTCAGTATAATGCTTATTGGTGACGTCAATTATGAGGACAGCGTTGTTCAAGAACAGATTAGACAGCTGTCAGTCATTGTAGGAAAAAACAGTCACTACCAAGGGCAGACTTTGTCATGGATGGACGTTTTCGCGAAGTTTTCTGCCGCGCAGAGGGTGAACATAACTGGACCCAATTTTATACCTGCGCTAAAGTCTTTCCTCGAAATTCCAGAGTATTCTTTCCTCAAGCAAAGCGTGAAACTTTCGTCCAATGGCAGCCGCGTGGTAGCTTCTCGCATCACGGCCTTTATGAAGAACGTTTCAAGCTCGACGTTTCAGAAGGACGCCATGTTGACAATACGCGAAGATCTCGCCAAAAAGTCTCCATTGAGAGTGATTCCGATAAGCCGCATGTTCATCTTCTTTGAACAGTACGCCATCATTTCTAGGGAGACCACAAGGAACCTTATCATAGCGGCCCTTGCGGTACTCGTCGTGACGTCCCTGTTCCTGGTCGATTGCTGGGTGACGCTCCTTGTGGTGGTGAATTTTGTGGCCCTGGTGCTTGAATTGTTTGGCTTAATGTACTTTTGGAATGTGTCGTTGAACGGTGTGTCGATGATCACGCTCGTTATGGCTATTGGCTTTGCCGTGGACTATAGCGCGCATATTGCGCATGCGTTCGTCATGTCCGAGGAGGAAACTGCCAACAAGCGTGTTGTGGACGCTGTTAGTACGCTAGGCGCCAGCGTCTTTATGGGAGGTTAGCAACTAACTTTTTCCCTCGCAACTAACTGAGTAGATTTTTTTTAAGTTTAAATTGTTTTACAGTAGTTACTGTACTGAATAGAAAACTGCGAGTCCATATGTCCAGGTGTCAAGAGAACGCGCGAAATATGAGCCCGTATTGCACTGCAGAGTTGTATTTTGTTTCCGTCACTCGCAGGTACGATTTACCGATGACGGAAGTAGGATGTTAAACGAGAAGCCAAAATACTAGAAAATGGCGTACTAGTGGAATAATAAATCCTTAATTCGATAATTCAACGTATAACACGCGAGGACATTTTGCTCATTGTTCATTGTTACACGTGCCGCGAAATATCCGCGCATTTTCTATGTTAAACCATCGAATAAGGTGTACATATTTCCCCCTAACCACCCGTAAAGCTCTTCTACAAACCGAACACATTTAACAAGCTAACATGGAACTTTCGTCTTTCCTGTGAAACAGGTTTCAGCACTTTCCTGGGGATGCTTGTGCTAGTCTTCGCCACTTCGGAGATCTACCGCATTTTCTTTCGCATGTTTATGGGTATCGTCTTGTTTGGACTTCTCCACGGACTCTGTATCTTACCTGTCCAGCTCTCCTTGTTCTGGTGGCAACCAGTCGTTACTCAGAAAGACCTGGCGGAGCACTTAACAAAGGAAGTAGAAGCTGAGGAATAGCAAATAGGCTTCCTTTATGCAAATTTCCGTTAGAATTTGGCGACAACGAGATGCTCTAAAAGCTCTATTAACTCCTCCACACCGTCATCCCTGTCTCGTTGAAGCATTCCTCTCTATAAAGCTCCCTCGCCTGTTCTCCTAAACGTTATTTATCCTTTAAGATAGCTAATCTGTATCTAAGTTTTCTTGCGAAACGACTTGCGCAATAACTGATAAGTTGTTTTCTTGTTTGTATTGTTAACTATTTCTTATACGTTAGTATGATGTTGAGTGTTGAGAGCAATAATGTATAATTATTGGAAAGCTTGTCTCTCTTGGGTGCTTGAGTTATATAAACTCACAGAGAAAAACACCAGAGAGATGATGATAAACCAAAAAGGAACGAAGATGGTTTTAAGATTGAGGTAGATTACAAGTGATGAACTTGAAAAGTTCAACTCCAGCTTCCATCGACGACGTGTTATCATCACACCAATAAACGTGTTTGTAAAGAATCATTTTACACAAACCTTGACTGGGGTTATTAAAGTAAATATGTGAACAATTTTAAAATTATAACAGAGTTTTAAGGGGTGGACTATTTCACTTTGAGGGGTGGGGCAAAGGGTGATTTTGATAAAATAAGCATGTTAACGGAGAAAAATATATCATGGAAACACGCGTCCCGAGAAAGATATTCTAAGTGCATGGAAGGGTTGCCCCCACCTCAAAAGTCAAATGGTCCACCCTAAGAATGCAAAATATGCTTGGAAAAAAAGAGTTTTCGAAATACTTTAAAGATTTTGGGAGAGAAAATTCTAGATACACGAGTATATTATTGTTTGGAGCAAGTAAGTTGCTTTATTTATATCTCATTGCACTGAGAMTGTATTAAAAGAATTGTTGGTGAAGTTGGAATTTATCATTGCGTGGTGGAACGATGTTACACAAATTGAGCAAAGACAACTCGACCTGTAAATGGCCGTACCTCGTGATCAACGACGTGAAAACTGCAAAACGCTTTCGTGACGATATCTCGAGTATAGGGAGTTAACCTGAGTTGTGTCCAAAACATTCCATGTGGCGCTCTCTTTGCTCAGTCTCTCTTTTTAGATCTAGAGAGATTTGACCTTACGGCGAACTCCCTTACAAACAGATGATGACGCGCCCGTGCTACATTTCGCACAACTTGAATAGGCCTGTTAAGCGTGCATGCGTGGAAAAGGAATCGCTATCTTGAATGGCTACCGCGTCAGGAACCCGTTTTAAGAGTCCTTTTAAATAGCACTTACACGGAGAGTAACTCAATTTCTAATGGCTGCAAACTAGTTAACAAGTGGTGTTGCACGAGTTTTTTTGGTTCTTGTTTCAGGGATATAATGGATACGTTTGGGCAGCTTCGCCCTAGGGCGTAGGTCACAATCTTCCAATTCACGTAGCAGGAAATCAGAATGCTAGTCATCTCTCTGTACCAGTGCTGCGCCATTAGCCCGCGAGGAAACTCCCACCACTCCTTGCTCCCCTACCCCTAAGCGGGCTCGCTCGCTAGTATTCTTAATTCCGAGGGGCGTATTAGTTCCACTATTTTCTTTTAACAAGCTAGCTAGTTTTATTAAAATTGAACTCATTTTTTTCCTAGAATGAGAGAAGAAGAATTTGTTTCAATGAAGTACCCACAGCCTTGATCTAAAGCCTATTATAGACTGATCTATAACACAACTCTCTAGCCAATGTGCTATGTGCGAGAGACAGTAAGGTTCTCGAGAGTTGTAGGTCACAGCTTGCTTTCTTAACGCTGAATTAAGCTAAATAGCATGAGGTTCTGGACAGAGGTTCATAGCTAGTTGCTAATGACAAGACCTTTGCAATTCTTAAAAATTAAAATTCTGGAACAAATCGTATCTCAACCTAAACAGGTCTACTGACTCAAGATTAATTGATTGCAACATGGTTGTTTACTAACAATTGCCAAACGAAGAAGACAACTAAATTTTCAATAACATGCGGCTTACATAAATCGTCATAAAGCCCTTCGTAATACGTTTACTTGAAACGTTTATTGTGGCAAATGGAATTTTTCTGATGCATCTTAAAGGTGCTACTGAACATTGCGGTGTCCTAGAACCCTAAGTTTTAGTTCCAAACAGAAATTATAACCGAAATATAGACGAGTGCCATTGGGAATATTGATCGTTTTTATTGGAAGATTTTTTTTGTGAAATTATTCCTATTTTGTCTCCGTTCATCACAACATATTCCCAGCACTCCTGGTAGGCAATAGAAATTATCAAAGAAGGGAGGATTATAGCTTCACCTAACATATAGCATCACGTGTCTTGTGCAACTACAGTCCTAATCTAAATCGTCACTGATTCTGGGTCTAGTTGTGACCTAATATTGAAACGAAACGCTACCCACACAGGACAGCGGAACTGAACTATCACTGGTTTGAACTGATAATTCGGTTTTAATTAGTATTCGTAACGCTAAACTCTGATTGCGTTCAAATACTGCATATGTTTAAGTAAATGAAAAATTAAGTATGGCTACAGGGATGACAGTTCTTATATTACAAAAAAACACAGTGGCCATTCACGGACAACTTTGCAGGTCGTAACTAGTCTAGCCTGTGTCAGCCGTCCGTCAGGTGGGAGCAGCACCAAAAACGGCGAGAGAAAAATAGGAAAACGAGCTTGGGGTAAGCTGAATTGCTCCCATATTTTCCCTCGCCATTTTAGCTCATGTTCAGATTTCTGGTGGCTTGGTAATATCGCGTGATTACAGCAAGCAACCATAGAAAAATGCTGACGTCAGCTAAACTACATGTAATAGAAAGTGGTTCATTGAATGGTTGTCTCCTTGCATCTGTGGCCAGCTAGCTATAGCATCAAGGAAATTGGAGGTGAACCTCAGCTGTCTCGTCCTAAAGCTGTATTTCATCTTTACACCACACGGCGCACTTGCTTGTGGGATTCATAGGCTTGTTTGGTTTACATTTAAACGCCTTGGCGAAGTCATATGAGTTGGACAACGTTCCAATAACCCTATTAACAACAAGGAATAAAATGACATTAAAGAATGTGGTAGTGTCAAGGCAAAAAAGAAAAAAAAAGGTAGGCTCATTGGGATGCCCCAAAGCCATCTTAACTGGCAAAGCACAGGAAAATTGTTTACGATCTTTCTCCAAATTTCAAACGTTTCTAGTGTTAAGGACAATTTAACCGTGAAATGAGTGTTTATACCGTCAACTGCATGCCAAAAGAAAGGTTCTCTGATCCTGACTTCAGCTTGAAGGATCGGAACCAACGACAAAAGGTCTCTATCTAATTATTTTATGATTGGGGACGGGTTGGGAATACCAAAATAAAAAAAAAAAACATTAATACGCTGAGAATTAAAAGTGACAAAGACAAACATTCTTACCCAAATAAGAGCAAAGACTGCTCTAGAATCAAAACTGACCAAGAGGTTCTTCCCTACCTAAATTTCTCCTCAGAATGCCTATCGCTTAATGTCGCCAAATATTGTTCCGTGGGACGACTGTTACTGCAATATGCCTGAAGTAGAAAATACAGTAATTTTAATACTTTATTCTATTATTTTAAGGAAAACGACCAAGTTTTTAAGTTTGCAAGACATGTTTCGACAGAGCTTCTGTCATCTTCAGTTGAATGAATGATTACAAAGCAAGTTGAATAATAAGTNCTTTATTCTATTATCTTTAAAATCAGTGTCCAATAAATGTCGTGAGTGAAGCAAGACTTATAGGCTTGTGTAAAACGTCTTGGGGTGTTAGCAGGCTCTCCGCTCATTTTATATTAAAAGGAACGATGCATCATCACCTGACCAAATCCTATGTAGAACAATTGTTCACTTGTGAAGTTGATGCCCGGTAGTCGCCAGGATTCCTGACCGTTCTTTTCTAACCAGTTCTTGTAAGCCTGAATATAGAACACGAATGTGTTGAGTTTGTATAAATAATCCACCAGCAATGTCACCATCACGTTCCTGTGTTTAAAGGAGGTACGTCACAGTTTACGCATCTTGAAAAATTTAGTCTAAATTTTTTCAAGTTCGTCGTTTGTAATCCGTGTTAATCTTCTCCATGCATCCTTAACCAAACTTGTTCTTTTATGGTTTATCATTACCTCTTTGGTGTTTTTCTATCTTAGTAAACTGCTATTTTCAGGTTATCTTCCATGTAAAGTTACTTTTGTACTAACCAAAATACCAAATACCGTGACTGATCTCATTTAACAGACTAGGTCATTCCTCATATGCTATTAATTAACACTTACAACAGTTCAATATGTGTTTCTTTTGGTAGTGTTTGGAAGTGTTAAGTGTTAGTCGCAGTGCAATACAACCGAAACTGTCTCCCTCAACTTTTGCAATGTCAAATCACCTCTGATGGAAACAAGGAATAACGAATCTACGTTCATGAAGAGTACGTCATATTAACCTACCCTAAATGATGCTTTGAAACCTCCATTGTCCGCAATATTTTCACCCAGGGTCAGCTTTCCATTAATCTGCGGCAAACATTGATCATCCAGGTTAAGAAACTTTAGCAAGATAAGTCGCCTTTTCTAATTAAGTGCGAATTACCTGTCTATACATTCATTTGAAGAGATTGGGTTGGGTAACGAAAGCTAGCTAAGAAGACACATCTTGTACGGAAAGGGCACTTTTATAGATTTTGCTAAGGGCGCATCTATAGAATTTGCATGAGTTTGACAAAATAAATTGACCACAAGGAGTATAATTTTTATTTGCAACTGCATGCCAAACGGTCACACCCTTACTGTCAATAAGCGTGAATGTTTGCTGAAAAGTGACCGTTTCGGTTCCATCCACGTCGTCATTTAGTATAGGAAAAACGAAAAGAAAAATGAAAAACAACTGCGGTCGAAGTGCTAGAAGAATAAGATGAAGACATAACGTCTTCTAATCTTCATCAAGGTCGAAGTGCTATTCTGAAAAAAATACAAAAAAGACACCAACAGCCAGTAGGATGCTTTCACCTACTGGATATTTATCGCGGACTTTGTACATCCAGTACTGATTCTCCACACATTTTGCCTTGGCGTTAAATCCATCCAACGAATCTTGAGACCACCACTGCGCGGTTAGTTCACCGTTTTTGTTGAACTTTCTCCCTAGAATGAATAAATTCGATGATAAGCTGTCTATTTATAAGAAAGAAAGTTTAAAAAAGAGATCAAGAATTAGGAAATCAAATAAATTTACATTTTTAGGCCTGGTGAAACGCACGCAACCATTTTCAATGGAAGCAGTCCAACATTGTTGCACACGGCATGTTGTTCAGATTTGGCCACGGTGTTGCACCATCCAACGTCTCGCATGATCTTGTAGCAGGATGGGGGGGGGGGGGGGGGCAAACATATGCAACATCTTGTGCCCAACAATGTTGCAATGGGCTACGTTGAAATCGGTGGCGTGCGTTTGGCCTGGCCTTTAGTATGTAATCAAACTGCAGCACGACGACTTGTTGGTATGTATAGTAGAGTCGACTTGTTGAAGTACTAGGCCAGAGCACAAGCGAGGAGGTTGCGAAAGGCAAGGATGAAAAAAAAGAACGTGACAAGAAAAGAAATGAGGACTTGATGAAAGACTAGCAAGCGAGTATCCAACATACACAGTTGTGGACATAATGGAGTTAACAAGATGCGTCGTGTTACTTAGCAACGCAGCTCCCTTAAAAACGTAACCACCAGTTTCGATAAAGGACTGGATTTCAAGTGCCCACGATACCGTGTTCTACGGACCGCAGCAACAAAATAACTTACACTCACCTGTATTGTCAAACCCATGTGTGAGCTCATGTCCAAGGATTGAACCGATAGCTCCAAAGCTCAACGATCTGAAGGGAAACGGAGACTCAGTGAATCCAAACGAGCTCAAAAATGTAACTGAATAACCATGTTAATAATATTTTTTTGGTACCTTCACATTCTCTGGAATCTACCGTCTATCTGGCAGCTTATACTGTTATTGAGTTGCAATTATCGGCAGATAAACATTGGACGCGTTTCTTTCTGTGTTAGGTTGTTTTTTTCTGTTGACACTTCAGCTCCTGGTTTAGTCGTATGAATCGTATATAACCGGCGATTTTTACAGACTATTTTGAAGCGTTTTCTTTTTATATTCGGTTTTTGCGTGCTTATCTTACCTGGGACTTCCTTTGGCGTAGAAAAATGGTGGTTGAAGAATTCCAGCTGGAATAACTAAGATGAAAAAAAGAAGGAAGAAACAATACAATAACTTATTACTACATGCTCAAGTTGATCTTTGACAGTTTACACACTTTGTGGTGGGACTCACTTATTTCGTTTTCGTTAAAACTGTACATTGCGTTAATCGTTTGTGGGTCCATGGGCCACCTAATGGAGACAGAAAGAAACAGAAAGGACAATGAGTTATGACTTCTTGTATAGCAATAGTGTTGTCAAGCAGTAACATAGCGTAAGAAATATGCTGAATATAAATGGGCCGACGGCTTCCCTTCAACTTGATGCAAATAATAGATATTTCATATGTGCTAAACAAAAGAAATTGAGTTCCAATTTATGTCATTTTTCTCAGATGCTATGGTCTTTTTGATGGTTTCCACTCTTCAAGACTTTCTTGCCCATTCGTGCTGCGGTAAAGGCGCATTTGATCATATTTAAATGCTACAATTTGCGCCATAGATCTAGAAATATTTTTTATCATCATCATCA